AGAGACAGAGAGACAGAGCAAGATAGAGAGAGAACAAGAAGGGGAGGGGCAGAGAGGAGAGATAGAATCCCAAATAGGCTCCATGCCATCAGTGCACAGCCTGACGCAGGGCTCAATAATGACCTGAACCAAGATCGGGAGTTGGACGCTTAACCAACTGCACCACCCAGGCACCCCTCAACTCGATTTTTACTGAGAAGATCTCTTTTTGTACTCCCATTTCATTGGTTTATCTAATACTGAATTAAATTACTCACACACAATGACAAATAAAAGTGGCATAAACCGGTTTGAAGCAAACAATGATCAGTGAAGCTAGGTAAACACAGGCAATCCAAAGACTGTGATTAACGACTATTTTGCCGGCTTGTGTTAAGAAGGGAATGGGAAGCTTCAGGCAGCCTGGGAGTCTGTTAGTGCAAGGTGCATGAGAGAACTCCTGCCCTAGAATGTTGGGGAACTTGTGTTCTAAGGCACACTGCTGGGAATGCTGGCCTCGGCCACCCTCTTTTAAGTGTTTGGATTGTGCTTCCCTTAAGCAAAACATTTTTGTCCACTCACTGTTAACATATGTATATTTGTGTATTTCTAACTACCTACAACACTATCACTGGCTAATACTGTATAGTATGATGTACTCAGGGCCAGGCTCATTAACAATGAGAATGGAGCTCAGTCTACATTCCTAGAGTTTTCTTGACCTTTTGAAATTTTTTGTCTGACTTCTTATCAGATGTGGTTAACTTATCTTTTTTAACCTCATACTGTGGCTGAAGATAAGCATGTACCAGGATTAGAAATGTCTTTACTATTACTTTTTTCTTTTTTTTTTTTTTTTAATTTTTAATGTTTATTTTATTTTTGAGAGAGACAGAGTATGAGTGGGGGAGGGGCAGAGAGAGAGGGAGACACAGAATCTGAAGCAGGCTCCAGGCTCTGAGCTGTCAGCACAGAGCCTGACGCAGGGCTCAAACTCACAAACCATGAGATCGTGACCTGAGCTGAAGTTGAGCCACCCAGGCACCCCTGTCTTTACTATTTCTTAGTGCTTGCTTGTGGATTGCCTCCAAGTGGTCACTTCAGGACACCTCAGTGTGTAGTGTGACATGTGACTTCTTACATATGGATTTAATCTACTTAGAAGTTTTAATATCTTCTTCCCACACTCCTGGGATATACGCACTCCACTTTGGAGACTGCTGACCTTATAAATGTTCAGAGAAATTGAGAAAATTAATTAAAAATGACTTGAATGCTAAAATGCTAAATATGGAGAATAGCAGAGCCTTTTTGAATCAGTGGAACCCATCTCTATGCTAAGCCAAGCCCTGAAGCTGAATAAGATTGTCTGGAGCTGCTTTTTAAAGCTCCCAGGGGAGCACTAGTTCAGCTATCACAAACCAACACTGGAAGAGGTATGGCTGCTGCATTTTCGGATGCTCACTGACAAACTGGAAACCCATTCAGAAGCTCTAGAAGAAGACTAAGCTCCAAGACAAGGTGGGAAAGAGGGAAAAGATAGAGAGGTATTAGAGGGCTGATTTCTGGCAGGCACAAACATAGACACCAGAGTTGTCCAACAGGGAACGAGGAGACCCTGAGGGAAGGACAAGAGCCTGGCATGTCCCCTGGATCTCAATAGTCTCCATTCCCAACTCCCTCTGTAGAAATTCCTAACCCCAAGGTAACCTTGACCTCAAAGGGCGGCCCATGTCGGAAGCCCCATCCACTATGACTGCTTTTTGCACTGAGATGAGCAGTAGGAAGGTGGAGATTCCAAGGTTTTATTGCCTTCTTCGAAGTTTCCTAGCCCACAAAGGTCTCAGGAAGACTACACTGAAGAACACCGGGCACACGGTGGGGACTCCATCACTTGCACTGAGGGAACTCACTACAGGAGGATACTCACATTGAGTCAACAATAAGAAAACACCCTCACTATTGGCATTTACATGCACATGAGTACAGAATTTGAACAAGAGTTTACAATTGGCCAGTACACTCTAGCCAAAGTAAGTTTTGATAATATCTTTTTTTAAAATTAACGTTTATTTATTTTTGAGACAGAAAGAGACAGAGCATGAA